TCCGTTCGTATATATTCTCGGAGCCTCAGAAAATCACACGCACGCAAGGCGACTTCATCGGACTACTACTTATCATGAACAAAGCTTCCAGTAGCCTAGGTGCATTACAATTTTTTTCAAATTGTCAACTCTTCGAGATCCCTCAGAAAGTTGAAGGCGTTTTCAAGATTATTGAATTTCTGATGTGTAGATGCTAACTTACCAGCCGAGACTTCCCCTCTATTTTCCAAGAAACATCACTGGTGGCTAAATTTACAACAATCTTGGTCCATACTACATCCTGAAATAATGAAGCTCTCCGCTGGTTGCCGATCGCGCGCCGGGTGTGGTTCTTGCGTCGCCCCCTTCCCCGATGGACGAGGCTTCCAACTCAGAAAACATTTATTCAAACGCAAAGGCGAGCAGTAGCAAGGCAGCCGTCGCCTCGAGCTCAAAAGTTCAACTACTTATCCTTAATCAATAATGGGAGTGTCGCCAGAGATCATCTGGCCTCTGAGCGCACCTTTCTCGCCTACGTCAGAACGAGTTTAGGAATCGCACCCTCGGGTATTGGTACGTCTTGTAATTTATCAAACGAATTGGGTCTGATCGCAGGAAAATTTATGGTGTAGCGCTCATGCAGTTCTTCAATCTTGGAACAAAAGTTAGGAGGTTCTCTCAGCCGCTTGGAGCCATAACGATAGCAATGGCGTTCGCTGTCCTTGTTCTCGGTAATTCCACCACTCCACTTGAACTACGAGATGCTCATCTCAAGTTTGTGGTGCAACTCACAGGTATCCGACGATATTTTTCCATCCAGAAGGAATTGCCTCACGGACGCTTCCCCGTTTCGAAAGTGGGAATTGCGCTCATGTCCTTCATGCTTGGTTCCCTCATAACAGCGACTTTCGGCATGTTAGTAACAGATCGAGTAAGAAGCAAGTAGATGTCTGTTTATCTGTGTAATATGAAAGTTATCGAGTCGTTGGTTATATCTGTAACGCTTCAGGACAGATTTCTTACGTCGGGTACAAGAACAAAAAAATTCTGCAATTTTGAAATGACTACAATGAAAGTGACCAAGAGATTATGATTGAAGCCATCGCTGATTATTGGATGAACAAAAACTTGAAGATGGGGCGCAAGGCGAGAAAACCCGTCATAAGTTATCTTTCACTGAGGCCCAACCACCGCAAACGCAAACGCATTTTGACGCATAAACTCGGAATCCTTGATCAATTGTTCAATATCATGGGAAGATCTCCTTCGGAGGTCTCTGCGGGCACACCTACAAGTCGTAACCTTCACCAAATATGGCTGGACAAGGGGAAAACCGGGGTTCTTTCAATTCTTCATATCCCCCTAACAGAAAGAAGGGAAATCAGTGGATTGGATAGAGGTCATATACACAAAAAGAACATTGTACAACGCGGCTCAAAATTTAAATATACTCAACGGATATCTGTCCCAGAGAGACTCGAACTCTCGATCTTCCGATCACGCATTTCGCTAACAGTCGGACGCCGTAACCAACTAAGCCATGGGACAAGCTGCAGAGATGTCGCATTGATTGGTGATAGGATGCTGTCGATCCGTCCTGTTTTATTGATGCTCGGATTGCAAGGGTCGATCTTTTGACGCTTGATTGAATACGCGTCACATTACCGCAAATTTTAATTTTACAAAGTAAACTAGCGGCGAACGGAATTATTCAAAGACCACCCTTGAAAATTTGTCGTGTTCTCTTGTCGAGGAGTTGAGTTGTCAGACTCTGAAGACGTTGTGAACACCTCAGAATTCAGGGAGCGTACGGATCCAGCATCTGCCAGGGTAATATCTAACGATGGTCGCGTGGAAGCGGGGTTTTGGATTTGGAGAGTCGGCATCCCCCTCATCGCGGGCTGTTGAAGCGTATTATTCGCCACCACCACGGCCTGTGCCCGGGCAAGCGTGGTTGCATGCACATAGCCATCCCACCAGATAACTACGCAGCTAACGAGTAGAAAAAGTGCCGCGAGCTCGACTAGAATGCGTCAATTTCAAAGGAAAGATCGACATTCTAAAAAGACGGACGTGGGATAGATACGATCGCGGCGAATGCGGGTGAATTTGTAAACCCGGAAGACTCGGAGGAGGAGGTCGGGGCAGTGGAGGTCGCCGGGGATGCGGAAAGCTGCGAGGATGATGATGTGTTCGAATTAAGGACGGCGGAACTGGAAAGGGTGACGATACAGACGAGTAGCACCCACATCAAGGAAGGATGCAAGAGAATGAGGCTGTCTCAGACATGTAATTTCGTCGAAGTGACGCAGGTGCGTCATTCAACTTGAACAGGCGATTATGTTGCTGTCAGTCAACTTCTATGTCTAGTGATTTGCGCGCAAGTATGTATTCAAGCACCGTCTCCGGTAGATATCTTGTATGTATACGACGAGGTTGCCACGAGGGGGGCAACCAGAGGGAGTCGAATGCAGACTATGTACATACTGCTTTTCCAAGACGAGATGTGTGTGTCTTGCTTAACCCACAGAAAATCGAGTATGGTGTAACGGCTAACATTACCGCCTTTCACGCGTATGATGAACGCGGTAGCTCGGGGTTCGATTCCCCGTACTCGAAATTCTTTTGTCGTCGTTCACGATCATGCCATACAGACAACTTTAATATTATGACAGATATGCACCTTCTTGTTGCTAGTTGCAAACCACAAGTGGTTCGCTGGCGGCGCACGTTTAAGAGGCAAGGAAGGATTAGATATCGCGGGAAGCCACGGGCGTGATATGCACGGAGTCCTATTGTGCGATTACATTAGTGAACTAGTGAACTTCCAAGTCTCAGATAAGTACGCGGCGCTCGTGGGCAACTGCTACGCAAGTGCTACGTGCTACAGGGCGCAATATCCGGATACGGAATTTGTTCGGTTTAGGACGGATATCTTATCTCCATCATGTTTGATGGTGCCTTTTGAGAACTTTCTCTAAACAACCACCATGGCCATGGCAAGCTCTTCCGATGAAGAAGACAAAGGTCATAAGCAAGGTCTTAACAAGCCTAGGTGCGTTTACAAAGAGGCTGTCCATGTATACAAGCTTCACACTCCAACCTGAACTTGACATGGACCAAGAGCTTAGCGCTTAGGCCTTATGGTCCGTCATTTCCAGAAAATTTTCGTTTACTCTTCAAGTCCTCTTCTGGGTGCTTATATCTTTGAATTTTTAGTGGAGAATTCATACCTGCTACGCAAGAGAACTCTTCACAGGTGAATACCCTTCGACCAACTCCGTCCGCAATGTGCTTATATGCCCAGATAAGGTTATCTTTTGCGAACCTTCCACAGGTTTCCCATCGGACGTATGGAGCCCTCGCTCCACCTTCTACCCCAGTCAACCAAAGCCCTGAAGCATCCACTTGTTCTCCACACGCAAATGAGACGGGCGACAGCAAAGGAGCACCGATACCATCTCACATGGCCTTGAAGATAAACCTCTCCTTAGCCAATCGCGGAAGCGTCGCGAGAGACCATCTAGCCTCTGAACGCACTTTTCTCGCTTATGTCAGAACGAGTTTAGGGATTGCGTCCTCCGGCGTTGGTACGCCCTGTTATACCTACCTCATCTCGATGGGAACTAATGGGAAGGGGTAGCGCTCATGCAATTCTTCAATGTTGGAGTGAAAACGAAGGCCATCTCTCAACCGCTTGGGGCCACTATCATTTTCATGGCAATCATTGTCCTATCTCTTGGTCAATTCAATCTCGTCACTCGACTGATCATCTTCTCAACTTTCTTGAACATCATGTATAGGGACCCGACGATACTTCGCCATTCAGACAGCACTGCCGCGAGGCCAATTCCCCATTTCAAGATTTGGAATAGCGATTGTGGGTTTTATGATTGGGTCTGTCATAACGGCGACCTTTGGCATGTTACTTCCAGATCGAATTCGGGGATCCTAAGGTCTGACTACCTATTTCATGCAAACCGATTTGAGCAGCCGATGATGCTTCTACGGCGGGGATGGCAGGGAAACACTCCAGGATGCGGAGGGAGGTCAATATTACAGACGATTGGAAATCCTGGATTACTTATGATTCTAACGAAACTCATCACGAACGTACGATGTAAATATAAAGCTCCTCTAAATGCACGGGCAATACTTGAGTGCATCCGATCGATGCTTAAGATACTATGGTCAAGCACCCTTGACACATTGGGGTAAATTCACACAAACCGTTGAACAAGATATCTTAGTAGTAGCAGACCGAGACTTAGCAAGGAATTCGGTGGAGGACCGTGACAGACGGGGTTGTAGAAAGTCCTTCGAGAGTTGGCAGTACCGTTGTTCCGTCCGCTGTCAAAGCAAGATGTAGGCTAGAACATTGCGGATTCTGTAATTTTGGGCGTGTCATTCTAGTTCCCTTGTCATGAATAAGAACGGATAGATTACCTGTTATGTGGTTGATGAAGCTTGGGCCTCAATAGGAACGATGCTCAAGAGAAATGTGGGGTGGAGTACCCCAACAATGAGGACGTACAAAGTAGGGCGACTATTCACTCGGAGTCCGCGCATCTATGGCTAAAGAGGACCAGAGTTCCTCTCAACGTCAATTTGCTCTTTCTTTGGTATGACGGAAACCACAAGAAACAGGGGTGAGCGCTTTACCGGAAGGTATGTCACCATTTCCCCCCACCTGTGATTGGGATTTTTGGCCTGTGGGAACAAGTATCAGCCGTGGCTACGTACCTCGGGAAGAAAACACACCTGTGTGAGGTCGGTACTGTACGTCGTCAAATCTTTAACCAGGTTCCTGAGGGTTAGAAAACGGAATCTCTGCAACGATTCCGGGGAGAAAGAGCTGTAAACGCTAGCTAGATGATAGTCGTGGTAAGACAACAAGAGGCTCGACTCGGACATCGCCGCCAAACAATGGCAACGCACTTTCCTCTCAACCATCACGACGTCAAGCTCATCATGGCCCCCGCTGCAGGCTACGAGCTCGTCCCCGCCTCCGACCCTTCCATCTCTAGGCCGTTCCGCACACGTTCAATATCCCCCTTCGACGCTGACGAAGACCCTGAACACGATGCTACACATCATTCATACTTGGCACACACCCGCCAACTTCGCATGGCATTTGAGGCCGACCCGCGATTCAATCCGCCTCCGCCTTCACCATACGCACGCGCTGCACTCGTTGCTTTCTGTATTTTTATCGTGTGGTATGCCTTTTACCTGAGGAGGGAGATCTGGATCGACTTTGGGATGGGCATGGGTGATGGGAGCATTGGGGTTGAGGTGGATCCGTCGTATTAAACTTCTCCGATGGTATGTCGAATGCTCTTGGATTAGTCGCTGCTAACGCCACCTCAGGAGTCAGGCCGGCCCCCCCTTATACAGATTTGGTATACCCCTGCTGCCCTCGTCATATTGCAAAACTACCCGTCATCTTCTCCTATCATTATTTTCCGACTTACAATCCCTACGCCTAAACCATCACTGTTGTACTATTATACACGAAAATACCAGAACGAGCATAATACTCATCGCAGAAATTTGCTAGGACCCTTGTTGACATGATGACGACGTGATGATACCACCCGGACGTTCTCCCATTCTGTATTGAAGACCCCGGTTCTTGAAAATTTGGCAAGATTTCCGAATTTTCAATGTTATCATCAGAGCAAGGCTTTTTCCCCTCTTGTCCTTTCAATGCTCTGGCGGGGGGCCCGGCTCTATCTTATGACTATGTTCCCTCACCCCAATCTGCCGGCGAGACTCTTCATTATGGATCTTCTGCAGAAACCCCTCACTATTGATGTTCGCACTGCTCTGGACGTTGTGACCAGACTTCGTGGTGCCCATGGACTGGCGGATCGCCACCCGCTGTCTTTGTCCTGGCAAGATTCCCCTCTCTCGTCGTTTCGGTGAGGTTGCCGCTCTCGAGAAACTCTCCGCGCTTCGCAGAGACTCCTCGCTCTCGCCGTTACACCATGTTCAATCGCCGCGGGGCAACTTCCTGCTCTCAACGATCTGGCAAGAGTCCCCGAGTCAGTTCACCGATGAGGTATTTTGCAAGCGCACCTAAATTGCTTGAACACTTGTTGGCGGAGTGCACAGTTCAAATAAACTGCCACCATAAACTCCGACTTGACTGCATTTGCAAAGGTTACAGGGTTGTCAAGTTTCAACTAGGGCAACAGTCCGTTGGCGTGCTTTGTGTAGGGGGAGGTCATCTCTCACTTTGAGCTATACAAGTTTTCTGACAAATTTATCCACGTCAGATCCTTCACAGGGCTTTTCCCATGGCAAAATCGAGACCAGGTCGAGTCAGCCGTGTTTTCCTAATCCGTAGCCGTATCGATGGTACCCACATTCACCCTATGCACATACTGCCCTTGTTCCTTTTCTTATTGACCTTGTGTGTTACTTTTGATTCTCCCTTGAGGTTTGGATAACCTTTGAGATGAGTGATGGGAATGTCGAGGTTGCGATTCCCTCGTATAAGGATTAGATATTTGCGATACGTCGAAGACTCTTGAATTGAATGCCACCAACACTCCAACATTCTCCGAGTACTAGTCTAGCCAGTCGTCTTTTAAACAGATACCATACATCTAAATTGCCTCCCCCATCCATCCGTCAAACCAATGCTAGACCGTTGACCGCCTGTTTGTGAGAAAGACAAGCTTGTTGACACAGCAAACGTCCTTTGAGACGTCCCTTTCTCAAGACAAGGCGGGTGTCGACAAACTTGCCTTTCTCAAGGACAAACTGGTTACCAGTCTATGCCACGATGCCGCCCTCGTCTTCTCTAACATGCAACAGTCAGAGTACTCACCTCCGCAATGATGCCGCATACCATCCTCTCCTATCCCTATTCCCAACTTATATCCAAGATTCTCCACACACCGAAAATTCGGAAAATGCGTAATCTTCCTCTTCCCAGAAAGTTGAGGAGGATCCTCCTCTCCCCCAGCGCTGATGTTTTTGGGAAACTAGCTCATGCTCCTCCGAGTCTCGACGTTTTGGCAAGGCGACTTCCCACTCTGGAACCTCTGGAGGAACCGCCCGATCTCGAAGTGCCGGCCATTCCACCTGCTCTCGGCGTTTTGGCAAGCCTTCCTTCTCTACTGCCTGCTCTCAACGCTGCGGAGCTCCCTACCCTTGATCTCTGGCGCGTCTCCCTGAGACTTTTGAAGTTCTCATAAAACTTAACACTCTCTGTGTTTTGGCGTAACTCGTCGCTCTGCCTATAAGGTAGCTCACTTGGGGCGTCCTCCTGTAATTAGGCGAATAAGCAGCGGCATGCAAACATTTCAAATGAATTACATGGAATTTCTTGTTCGCTATCTCCGCAAAGGCTTCAGGGTTGCTGAGCAGTGACTAGATTGCCAGATTCTAGATTTCCAACAGCATGTGCCGCGTAAGGGAATGCCAGCTCTCACCTTGATATGTTCAAGTTTTCCGACGAAAAAATTATCGATATTTGAAGATTGGTGTTGAGAGTTTCCACCTTCGAAAGGATTTCCCCACAGCAAAATTGATAGCAGGATATTGTGGAGGTAAAAAATTGTCCTTCCAATTTTCGTTAATTTGTTACCGATCTATAAAAAAAACGATTGCAAATACCCCTGATTTTCCGCGTTGGCTGGAGAACTCAAGGATTCGTTCAGGACAGTTTGCGCACAAAGGTGAGCGAAATGACCGATAGAATCAGCCTTTCCGACAGAGAGATGACGACATCGTTTGGGATCTTGTAAGAATGATTGGAGGAGTTGGAGAAATTTGTCCCCATGTCTAAAATCATCAAGATGCTGGTCAGTGAAATCCCAAAGCCATCCAATTTCTGTCAGGAGGGTGAAGTGGCCAGTGGGCCTCCACATCCTTGATTCCCAAGTGCCAAACGACAGTGATAGCCATAACAGAGCAACCACTGACTTCGTCCACGAGAACCCCCCTAGCCACGAAAGTAGATGCTGGTCAAGCGCTGAGTTGAGTCCGGAGCAAATTGGGCTGCACTTTTTCAAATTGCACTACAGGAAACGTAAATTTTTGATGTCAGACGAAACTGAGTGCTTGCCTTATCATGCAAATCGCTTCGTAGTGTCCCATAAATCTCCCACCAATAAACAAGTTTCTTTAGCGTTGTCGAATCGGAAAGGCTGAAGCAATGCGAATTCGGCTTGAAAGTTTCTAAAAGCCCGTCCATCGACCCGGCCTTTATTGAATTGCCACGCGAGTAATGGCTGAACCAAGCTTTCGTGCTATATTTCAAAGCAGGGTTATTATTCACTCGCCGCCGCTTAGAATTGGGTATTTTTGAGAGTTGGCGCATACATGATTCTAAAAGCAGCGAATGTGCCGCATGTTCATCGGTGTGGAGATCTTCCGATCTGTGGCGATCTACCAAATAATCCCTGAACGAAGCATGATAGAAATGAATGGAATGGGTCCTGCACGCTGGTAGGTAGATGAGGGAGTGTAAGTCCCAGAAGAGAGTTACCATCTCTTCCGACTTGAGACCGAAAAGGGATTCCAATAAAGCAGGCGTTGGGGCTTGGTTACGCTGTAAACAAAAGATAGCCCCAAGAAATGAGATGACTTTCTTGATTTCCAAAGTCGATCGCAAAACATGCGTGTACAGTTGATCAATGAGGACGAAGGGATTGGTGATGTGTTGAGAAGCGTCGAGTGATTCACAGATATCCAAAATAAGCTCGAGCTGTGCGGAAGGGACCTTACGCTCCTCATCGACGAATCGAATCACCGTCGCCGCAAAAATAAATTGGCTGGATGACTTTTGAACAAGGAATGAAATTACTTTTTCTGATGGCCATGGCTGGGGGAGGGAGGACATCGAAGGAAAGCGAATGCGCCGGCGGTGATATATATCTGAAAAGCTGCTCCGAAGAAATGTTGCTATGTCGTGATCAGGATCGTAAGAACCGTCGAGAACAATATGGTGGGTGATGGTGGAAAGCCTGTCCTCAAATACATCGGAGACGGCGGGCTCCTCTCGACTGGCGATGAGGAGGTATAGTCTAGGTAATGAATACTTGATTTTCAAAAGAGCGTCGTTGAACATGTGTAAGATATCGGCCTGAACTTTCCCGTCGTTGCATTCATCAAGACCGTCAATAATAAGCAATGAAGGCCATGGGTAGTTCCATTCCGCCTGAAACGAAGCCTGGATCAGAGGTTGGACCACAAGAAGTTCCATCTGAACGGGCAACGCCTTTTCAAATATTGATAGGTCATCCAGCACGACTTGCTCGATGAAAGGCTTAGTCACTGGAACTGATTTTGCCAGCTGCGCAGCAATAGTCGCAATCAGGTGAGTCTCAGTGTCTCTCTGAGGAGCGGTACGTGCAAAAAAAAAACTAGCAGCGAGCCCCTTGGAATCATGGAAAGTTTCGGCTATAGTCTGCAAAATGGCTGACTTGCCGAAGCCAGCTGGGGCGCTGAGCCAAAGGATCAGAGTATCTTTGGAATCGTCTAAGACCCAATTTGTTATGTCTTTGAGAACGGCTTTTCGTGTATCCTTGTGGCATCTCGGAGCGTCGGCGTAGCGTCCTTTGGAATTGTGCATTGCGCTGGCTGCGATGTTTGTTTGAAGAAATTGGAGGCCTGAAACCTATTAGTGAAGTCATTTTCTGTCAGAAAAGGGAAGAGAGTTACCGTGTCCGCCTGTCAATACACTTGGGCCATTGATATGCGTAACTGAGTTTCGTTCATAGTAGAAATCCGGTTTGAGCGCTAGCGTTGCAGATTACTACTTACATGTCAAAACTCACCCGATGTATAATTTCCATGGACTTCAGTGAGGGCGCTGGCGCCTGACACGATGACACCTCCTGCGCGGTCAAGCATTGGACATCTGGTGTAAAGATGCTTGTGTTTTTAGGTCGTGGTCGTGGTGGGAATGGAAGAAGTGAAGCGCCCGATCATGATGGGAGAAACGCCAAGCATTTGTGTTGGATCAACGATTCGATTTGGATTTGATTATCGATTGTCCTTCCAAACAGGGCCGATGTTCCGTGACCCAATTGCCTCGAGGATCAACTTCTCCTTGGCCAATCGCGGAAGCGTCGCAAGAGACCAGCCGGTGAGCGCACTTTTCTCGCCTATGTCAGAACGAGTTTAGGGATGGCGTCCTCCGGTGTTGGTACGCCCTGTTATACCTACCTCATCTCGATGAGAACTAATGGGAAATGAACCAGTGGGGGTAGCGCTCATGCAATCATTCAATGTTGGAGTAGAAACGAAGGCCATCTCTCAACCGCTTGGGGCTACTATCATTTTCATGGCAATCATCCTATCTCTCGGCAATCATCCTATCTCTCGGTCAACTCAATCTGATCGGCTGCTCACCTTTGTTGATCATAGGCACCCGGCGACATTTCGCCATTCAGACAGCTCTGCCGCGGGGCCAATTCCCCATTTCAAGATTCATAATAGCGATTGTGGGTTTTATGATTGGGTCTGTCATAACGGCGACTTTTGGCATGTTACTAGCAGATCGAATTCGGGGATCCTAAGCTCTGGCTACCTATTTCATGAAAAGCAATTTGAGTAGCCGATGATGCTTCCACGGCGGGGATGGCAGGGAAACACTCTAGGATGCGGAGAGAGGTCAATATCACTGGCCAAACAAGACCAGGGGTCCTCTCAACGTCGATTTGCTCTTTCTCTGGTATGACGGAAACCACAAGAAACAGCGCTTTATCGGAAGGTATGTCACCATTTCCCCCCATCTGTGGTTGGAATTTTGGGCCTGTGAGCAAGTATCAGCCGTGGCTACGTATCTCTGGAAGAAAACTTGGCACCTATGTGAAGTCGGTATTGTACCCCTGTCCTTCGATGATGATGTTGTGGGCGGCACGCCTTCGTTGTCGTTGTCAAATCTTCAACCGGAATGTCTGCAATGATTGCGGGGAGAAAGAGCGCTAGCTAGATGATAGTCGTGGTATTGTGACAAGAGGCTCGACATCGTCGCCAAACAATGGCAACGCACTTTCCTCTCAACCATCACGACGTCAAGCTCATCATGGCCACCGCTGCGGCCTGCAGGCTACGAGCTCGTCCCCACCTCCAACCCTTCCATCTCTAGGCCGTTCCGCACATGTTCAATATCCTTCGACGCTGACGAAGACCCTGAACACCATGCTCCGCATCACTCATACTTGGCACACACCCGCCAACTCCGCATCATGATGGCATTCGAGGCCGACCCGCGATTCAATCCGCCTCCGCCTTCACCATATGCATGCGCTTCACTCGTTGCTTTCTGTATCTTCATCGTGTGGTATGCCTTTTACTTGAGGAGGGAGATTTGGATCGACTTTGGGATGGGCATGGGTGATGGGAACATTGGGATTAAGGTGGATCCGTTGTATTAAACTTTTCCAATGGTATATCGAATGCTCTTGGATTAGTCGCTGCTAATACCGTTTCAGGAGTCAGACCGGTCGTTTTCTATACAGATTTGATATACCTCAGCTGCCCTCGTCGTCCGTCGTCTTGCAAAACTACCCCCCATCTTCTCCTATCATTATTTCCAGACTTTTTCAACTTAAATTCTACTCCCTATCCTTCCTATCACCGTTGTACTATCACACACGAAAATACCAAAGTGGGCATAATACTCATCGCAGAAATTTGCTAGGACTCTTGTTGACATGATGACGACGTGATGATACTCCCCGGACGTTCTCCCATTCTGTATCAATGACCATCTGGAGAGACTTTCAGTTCTTGAAGTTTTGGCCAGATTACCGAATCTTCAATGTTATCGTCACAGCAAGACTTTTTCCCCTCTCGTCCTTTCATTGCTCTGGCGGGGCACCCAGCTCTCTATCTTGTGACAATGCTCCCTCTTCTCGATGTGTCGGCGAGACTCTCCGTTATAAACCTTCTGCAGAAACCCCTCGCTCTTGATGTTTGAGCTGCTCTCAACGTGGTGACAAGACTCCGTGGTGCCCATGGACGGCGGGGAGGCCGTCGTTGTCCTGACAAGATTCCCCTCTCTCGCCCTTGTGGGTTGCCGCTCTGGAGAAACTCTCCACGCTTCGAAGAGGAGAAACTCTTCACGCTTCGGAGAGAGTCCTCGCTCTCGCCGTTACTCCATCTTTCATCGTCTCGGGGCAACTCCCTGCTCTCAACGTTCTGGCGGACAGAGACCCTTCTGAATGCCGTTGTATGTCTCAAGAAGGTACATCAATGCTCTACGAGAGAGGAGAAAAAGATGACCAGTCGTTGCGGAGGGTTGGAGAAATAGGGAGGCCGGTGGCCTGGGCTGAATATTTGATGACGAGTTTTTCAACAGAGGTTGAGATCCCGCAAGCAAAACGAGATTTCGGTGTTTGTTCGAGGAGATGAAGAAATAGCATCTTGCGAGCGAGGTCGAGACGATGTGTCTGGCCGTTGTCATTGCAACTATGGAGTCCGGGGATTGATCCTGGAGAAAATGTGCGTTTGACAGCGAGGAAGAAGGTTCACAGGTCTGTGGACACACCTTGATAGCGTCGATCTCGGACTTTGCGCTGACCACGTCGATTACATTTCCCAACCAAAGTAACCCGCGGACAGACGTGGCGCTCTTTTCAGGGTCTACCACTCGCTCTCGTCGCCAGGCCGCTGTCGTTCCATTCAAATTTCAAGAAATGGGGATCTGCTTATCCATCACATGGACCTAGGTGACGTCATTGAATGGCTGACCATGATTATCGGGATTAGGGGGTGGCTATTGGTACCTCACGATCTAGTCGATGTTGGGGTCCCACCTCCATGAACCTCAAGCGAGCAGTTTACGTTTCACGAAGAAGCGCACACGTGGACTGCTTCAGTTTCTTTGCTTTAGGAATTGTCTTTCCATTTCTTCCACAAAGACCGCCGTCTCCAGCCGTGCTGCGCAGCATCGCCGTGAACCAACAACGGGTAAAATTTCCCGGTCCAACCCACTCATTACTGACAAGAATTCTCAATAAGTTGAATATCCAGATTCCAGACGATGATGAATCGCCGGACAGTTTCCGCACCCGACGCACAGGAAAGAAACAAAAATCTGTCGTTACGAGGCTTATTTTTAAAACGAGACGGCCACATCATACCGGCAGATGATTCGAACCTCCGATTCTGAAAAGGAGCCCCCGAATTTGAAGACAACACCTCCGGGTTTTGAAACGAGTCCTTGAACACGGCATGGACAACTTAAGAGCTCTTTCACGGGAAATAGGTAAGCTTTTATTTAATGAACCATAAATTTATTGTTGGATGCCGCAATTCAACTTTGTCTCCTTCAAAAATTAGGACCTTTGCTGCGTGCAACCGCTCAGGTTCGCACCCACCGAACACCGGGACCAAAAAACACGCGGAGTGTGGAGCAGCTGCGCAGTTCACTCTTCTTCGGATCCGCCAGATCACCCATTGAAAAATGCAGAATCGATCGAAACTTAGGAGACATGACCTGAGGCTTGATCAGTTAATATTACGAATTCTGAAATTTATTGACACTGCGTCTTACAGACCTCAACGTTCTTATCCCCTACTGCAATTTCACCACCCAATCCAGGTAAGCCGCCAACCGTCTCTTTCCTTTTCGAAGAAAATTTGAGACTTGCGGCATATCGCAGTTCACGTTGGCAACAGTCAAAATTCTTGACGCGCAGTAATTCGTGTGGGGAGAAGCATCAAGCATTGACCTGGGTGAATTTCGCGTTTTACAATGGATGGCTGCGGGTTTGACCCTGTAGTGTACGATGGCCATGCCGAAAATTCCGTCTCAAGTTTGCTTGCATGAAGGATTTTATTTAAAAGCGCCTCATCTCTCCAGTCCAAAATCATCAAACAAACCCTTCAATCCTCCCTCAAAGAAAAAACCACTACTTCCATAACTTTACCTCGAAAATGCGTTCCTTCACCGCAATCCTCGCCGTCCTCACAAGCGCCCTGCTCGTATCCGCCCAAGCGGTGCCTCAAGGCCAAGCGGCGCCTAAAGCCCAAGCGGCAGCTCAAGCCTGCTGGAAATGCCCCCCCAATCAAGGACTGTTCAAGTTCCAACAACAGGCCGGAAGCGACCCACTCCACTGCCAATTCTTGAAGGACGGCATGACTTATTATTGCGATTACAAAGTGGTACAGAACGATTCGCCGCACTCGTACCATCGCATTGTTTACTGATGACCTTGACTAGGCTGACGGCACGTTGATCTATAACGTCAACGACGCTTTCTGCCCCGCCAGTGCCGTTCCCTGTTAAATAATTACGCGAAGCGCGTATGCGCTTCTGGTCCGAAGTTGGTGAGTACTTGGCGTGTCGCTTGTCTAGATTTTTCTTACCGGGTTTATGTGACGAATTTGCGGCTACTTTAGATTGATATACTTTGGACGTTTGAAGTTTCGTATCAGCATCAATACAACTATGTACATACGAACCTCAAATACCCTCGCGTTATTCTCTCGTTATACATAAACCTAGAAACGGACTACAGATATGCAGATTTCTAATGTATTCAACCACTAGGATACTTGGGAAGTATGTATACTATATTTTCTATATTCCAATGATGGGGCGATCCACCACTGCGATGCCAGATTTATTGTGATACAAGGCAAGTGTGGGACTGGAGCCTGATTTATTAAAAAATATTCCAACAGTGGTTGCGGGCATCGGTAATGTATGCTACGAACACAATTTACTCAATTGATTCGACCAGATGAACATTATTTGAGGAAATAAAGGATTAAAAACTTTATTGCCACGAGATCTAGCCTCGCATTCCGGATGAAGAATGATAATCCCGGTTAAACGAACTCATCCCATGCAGGAAAGACAATTGACACACGAGGTTCTTTTAATTCTGTCAAGGTCTTACTAACGGTGCCCTGCCTACTTACTACCTCTCCTGATTCCAGTTTACCTTCGAGTTTACAAAACCCGTCATGTCGAACCCTTTCCACATTATTACCCAGAATGTATGGCCTGTTGCGGTGAAACTGAGTGGTACTAGTAAGTCCAAGGTTCTCACATCCCCGGTAATTCGTTTTGCATTAAGAGCCGTGTCACGTCGCTGAATTCTATTTCTTAGCCTGTGTTGAAGTACTATTTTGTTACCGCGCTGCTAGAGGAATATCAAGAAGATTTCGATTCTGCGAGGGACGAATGGATGAAATACGCTTATTTAGAATTCAGCGAAACGAAAGACCGCCGTGTCTCAAACATCCTAATCACCTGGCCAAAAGATGACTGGCAGTGCGTCAAGCAATGTATGCAAACTAGAGTCCGGCAAAGCAACGAAGATGTTTTTTGGGGGTTACGGCTGTACCAAGAGAACCTTCCTTCACGAATTCGGTCATGCTTTAGGTTTTCATCACGAACACCAGCGCCCCGATAGGGCATCTTCGGGAATCCAGTTTTACAAGGCCTTCACGATGCTGATGTATCCAGGCCGTGAACCGGACGATATGACGATAGATGAGGCCTTAAAAGCCGCCGGTATTCATTTTCAAGCAGACGACACTGAAGAGGAGCGTAAAAAAGGAAAGATTGCAACTGACATCAAGGCTTACGTTGAAGATGGGGACTACGAGAACGCCAGAAAAAACTTCATCGTGTATAATAGAAGGGTCCTGAACAAGCTCAAATGCAAGCCACATTCCAATCATTTATGACAGTCCATTGACCTTCTACGCAGTGTTTTACAACGAGAACAGGAAGCACAAAAAGGGCACGCAGCAAGCACGCAGATCAAGAACTTGAAGAAGTCAGATGTGGAAACTAAGGGCGATTTTGAGGATGTTTTCAATTTGAGTACAGCGGTTAAGGAAGCGGTTGAATGGGTTGCCAACAACCAGAGTGATGACAATGATAACCCCGAGAGAGAGGAGGAGAACGATCATTACGACCTGATTACGACTGAATTGGACTGATGAATTGTGTATGTTTGTATTTGTATTCAATGTTGGCCGTTGTTTGCCTGAGGCCTACGTAATCATTTCTCTTTTTCTCATTCCGTATACTGGCGGGGCGTCTCTGATTATCTCACTTGTTTCTTGTAGGCATTTGTGCTCGCGGCGCCAGGTCCTGCGCCTTGTGCCTTCCCAAACCTGCTCCAGCCAGTCTCCTACTGCGCACCGATACCGGGGGATCCTCAGAG